ATCAGGTTCTGGATGCAGGTCAGCTGATCCCAGAAACTCTGTGTGCAGCAGCTTCATATCATCTGTTTACTGAACTGAACTGCAAAAAACATATTTTCAATCTATTTATTGGCAAGTTTAGTCTAATAATTGAAAACATGGATGAAATAAGAAACATGAAACAAGTAAAATAAAATACATACAAAGCAGAACACAGCTAAATGTATCAAAAGTATGTCTATGTAATATTAGAATTATCTGAGACAATTAATTTTGGTTTTTCATTTCCCCCCCAGTAAGAGGTTTTTATTTAATAGGATTTTTGGACAAAAACATCGCAATATATCACCTTGCTTACAGTATCGCAATATATCAAGATATATCGTATCGTGACCCCTCTGCCATGATATGTGTATTTTCGCTAAATTCTTGCCAATWCACAGCCCTAGTAAACTGTAACTTGACTGCATTTTTAACAGTGGATTCAAGCTGCAGGGTTATTTTTAAACTGTGTCTGTTGTTGACTCATTCTTCGTTACAAGGGTCAGGGCTAAATTGTACAAATGAAGGGGTTGACTTTGCAATTGATGAAATTAGTCTGTTGAAGTGAGTGGCGAGGAGTGTTAGTCCAGCTCTGCACACATCCTTCCAGATGACACGCCCTGTTCCATCCAGGGAATTTACCCCACCAGTGGCCAAGAGGTCAAGTCTTCCCTGGCACCATCTGTTAACTGTGGCCACACCCCTCTTTGACAGTTGCTCCTTGAAATCGTCTGGAAAAGCTTCTGTGAATTGGGCTAGTAGTTCACACGGATGTTGTTTTGTTTAAGAACCATTTGGGCCAGGTCAACCATTAAGAATTCTTAATTTTGATGGTAAAACTCAGTTTTGCACATTTAACACTTGTAGAAGAACCTCACTTCAGTAGCTGTGTTTCCATTGACCAGGAAAATGCGCAAATTAGAATTTCRAAAATAAATTTGCTCAATGGAAACACGTCAATTTTGAAAAAAAAAAATTTTTTTTCGACAAAATGTTTTTTGCGCTAGGATGAGGTGGTTTTTCGGTCATATCGAAATAGTTGTTTTTCGCAAAACTGCAACGGAAACACTTTTTTCGCATCATGGGAGTCACGTGAACCGGCTGTTTCTACTGGTGAAAAAGACCACGACTAAGAAGATAACAGGAAGTAGAAGTAGTAGTAATATCACAGAAGTAGTATAAAATAGTAAACTCACCGACTACAATTTCCCAAAAACACAGCATACGTAGCCGCTCCCAAGTAGGGACTTGTCTCTGGAAAGCCTCGATAAAAGACGCCGACGTCTCCTCTGATGATGAGCGCTAGTGTCATGGTAGCAACATGCTATGTGTTTACATCCATCGCCGCCATGTTTGTAATGACTTATCGCGAGAACAAACGTATTCACGTGACTTTAATAACATTTCTTACTTAATGGAAACACTGCAGTTGTGAAAATGTGTTTTTCGACATTAATAGAATATCGACAAAGTTTTGCGCACWTTTGCAATGGAAACACAACTTATGGTAGAATGTCCATTCATGGTTTTAGAATTTTCTATTTGCTTTTAGCAAAAGTGGGTTCAGCCATAAAATCACAATAATCCTCAAAATAAGCTTCATCTCACCCTAAGCAGAGACTGTAAACATAGTAAAAATAAAGAGCTGTTGAGGTGAGCTCAGGTAATGGAAAATGATAACATCATTAACTATGTTAATCAATTTTCTGTCGCAAAAGATTTCATCTGAGGTCGTCCTGGATTTACTTGTGCAGCAATGGATAAAACGGTCGATCTTCATCCCTCCACATCAGATAGACCAGACAACTATTCCCCCGTCAAAAATACCTTCACCAAAACATGACCATTCGTTCTGAGTGTTCATGCCCAGGATCAGAAGATCAACTGAAGTACTCAATCCCTCCAGCAGACCGTAGGCCTGGGCACTACTCTAAGAGCTGGAGTGAAGATCTGACCCTGAACTGAGGGTTCAGATGCTTTTTATAAGCTCTCTATTTTTTCTGACGAAGATTGGAGAACTTGTCATAAACGCCTTATTTGTATCCTAGTTTCCTGTTTTTATAAGAGTTCGGCATGTCTCAACCTTCCACATCAGAGCCCACCTCCCACATCTTAAAACATTTAAACATTCCTTCCTCTGAAAGGGCATGCACTTTCATAGAACATAAACCCCTCGTCCATCAGCCTCTGACTAACAGAAAATGATAGAAACAAACTTAGTGTGTACAGTAGTCATGYTTAGAATGCTAACAGAGTCCAATCTGTGCACATAAACCCAATAAATGTAAAGCATCTCAATATTTTACAGCTTTTTGGCTGCAATGAGTCTGTTTTATTATTCTGTGCGAAATGCAGTTATGTGCAGGTTTAAAAAAAACTATCAAGTCCCATGGTTTTTATCTGCGCATTGATACCTTTGTTTGATATTTAGTGGTAATTGTTAAGAGAGCCCAGAGCTCTTTGATCAGTATCCACTATGGATCAAAAATCAGCCAATAATTTCTGCTGTTGCTGATTCAGCTCTGTTCAGGAGCTCCTACCGACTCCGTCTAGACTTTAACTTACCGTGACAAACTTAGGGTTTACACCTGAACTCTGTCAAAAGAATCTGCAGTCAAACATATTTAACCAAGAGGCCTGTGGTCTCAGCTAGGATGCTGCGACTCCACTGAGCCCTGGGTCCTCCCCATCTCTTCTATTGATGAGAGTTGTACAACCCTACCTTATCTGGGCTGTGTTCAATTTTCTGAACACATGCTAATAAAAGAGGTCCAGACTAGTTCCACAGCTGGTTGGAGTTGAGTTATAAAAGGCCATGGAGCCTTTCAGACCTGTGTTTAACTCTGTCTTAATTCAGTCTGAATGACCCCTTCATGTTGAAGCGTCCAATCCAGTCCAACTTTATTTGTAAAGCACTTTTTGCACCATAGTAGAGCAAAGTGCTGTACAGAATCAACCTTCCAACACAGCTCATACAAAAACAAACTCAATCACAATTAAAATAGGAATAAAAACCACAGAAAAATAAAAGCAAGTAATAAAAAACAAAGTAAAAACAAGGAATAAAAAACAATAAAATACTGAAAAACTAATTTAAAATCTAGAATAAAAACAACATTTCTACAAAAAATAAAATCTAGTATAAATGGACAACAAAACCCATCACACAGTGTCAAAAGCCAAAGTAAACAAATGGGATTTAAGACGARTTTTAAAAACAGCCAATAAAGAGGACTGTCATGTTGTAATTTATATAACTCAAACTGAAGAGAGCGTTCCCACATAGAAAAGCTTCTGGCCCACACAATGCACTAACATTCAGTCCAGATACAACACACAATGACAGCCCTGTGGAGGCCCAGAGGTGTGGGCCAGCACCACATAAACCAAACCAAAGCTGGGCCAGCCGTGGTTACAGTCCATCATTGCCAGATCTGGGTCTCATGTATGAACGCTGCGTACACACACCTCACATATACCTGTAACCGTGTTTCCATCAAGGCTTTTTGATGCACATTTAGAAGTGTCGCATTAAAAATGCGATAAAAAGTCGGATGGAAACAGCAAAATTCGAAAAAAAATCCTCAATTCGCTAAAAGGTTTGTACGCTCGCTTGAGGTGGCTTTTGGATGATTCGCAAAGTAGTTAATGCGCAAAACTGGAGATGGAAACACGTTTGCCGAATAAATTCTGACGTAGCGCATATTTACCTCACGTGACGTTCAGCTGTTTCCACTTTCCTGCCTCGTCCCGACGTAGTTGCACTGCCTTTCTGCTGCGTAGTTCAACATTGCGTTTATTTCCCTACGTCTCCTGGCAGCGTTAAACATTGCCTGTACTAGCTGAATAGATAGAATAATTACAACTTGCCCAATAGCAAGGCATTCACAAAAAAAATCGCTCCATTGTCTCTAGATGATTAGCCTCTGCTAGTTAGCAAGTTTCACTTCCTGTTTACTACCGCAAAGCTTGTCGCCGACGTCTGACGTAATCACACGTTGCGTAGCCTCGTCTGACGTAATCGCGTTGCGTAGCCTCGTCTGACGTAATCGCGTTGCGTAGCCTCGTCTGACGTAATCGCGTTGCGTAGCCTCGTCTGACGTAATTGTGTTGCGTAGCCTCATCTGACGTAATTGTGTTGCGTAGCCTCGTCTGACGTAATCGCGTTGCGTAGCCTCGTCTGACGTAATCGTGTTGCGTAGCTTCGTCTGACGTAATCACGCGTTGCGTAGCCTCGTGTGACGATATCACACGTTGCGTAGCCTCGTGTGACGAAATCACGCGTTGCGTAGCCTCGTGTGACGAAATCACGCGTTGCGTAGCCTCTTGTGACGTAATCGCCTTGCGTAGCCTCGTCTGATGTAATCATGCCTTGCGTAGCCTCGTCTGATGTAATCACGCCTTGCGTAGCCTCGTCTGATGTAATCGCGTTGCGTAGCCTCGTCTGACGTAATCGCGTTGCGTAGCCTCGTCTGACGTAATCGCGTT